ATATATACCATAAGCCTTTATCATATTCATAAGGTTTTATCATATTCATTGAGAGGTACCAAAGAGAGTGGACTTAATATGAGATTAGTAAAAGTATTACAATTTGCCAAGTTTGAATCGATTGATATTCGATTAAACAATTTAAACCAGTAAGGGATCTAAATCGATTTCTATGGGATATAAATCGATTTCAACGAAATTTGTCAGAGATTAATTTATATTAACTACAGTACATTGTACAAAGTGTGTGTCAATCGTACAAACTTTGGGTCCGTAGTGGATAATTTATATAAAATCGGTCGAAAATATATATGGGAGCTATATCTATATCTGAACCGACATTCGCGAAACTTAACATACTAAATTCAGTACGCTATGATAAATTTCTTGTAGATCGAAAGATATATAGGGACTTTAGTGATCCATTAACATAAAATCGGTCGAAACTATATATGGATGCTATATCTAAATCTGAACCAATTTTCTCCAATTTCAATAGGGCCAAAAAAAAAGCTGAGCCAAATTTCATCTAAATCTGATTACAAATGCGAACTGTACTTTGTTTACAATTTAACATTAACAGACGGACGGACATGCATAAATTGACTCAGAAGGTGATTCCATGTATAGTCTCAAACGGAACCATGTGTCTATCTCGATTCCTTATGCCTCATACAAACATATGCACAACAACATAATATCCTGTGCCACAGTGTGGTGAAGGGTATAAAAATGTTCACACTGTGGGAGGTACCAGAAGGAGTAGGCAGAGAGATCCCATCTTCGGACATAATCGAAGTACTGTACAAATATTACGTTATGCAAAGTTTCGATGGAAAAGGATAATCGGTTCGGATAGTCCGTGCACGTGATATTATAAAATTAATTTTGGACCAAATTTTGAACATTTTGTCTGCGAGGTACATGAATGAATGGATTGAAAGGTTACATTTTCGGTAAGGTAAACATATTACGATGTGCAAAGTTTCGGAGAAATTGAAATACCGCTTCATATGATATGTACAATTTTCAAAATGTTGACCCTTTGTGGGGGACGTACTCGAAGGAGTGGTTCGATAAGACCCATCTTCCAACCATATACAATAAACGGTTGTGCAATGTTTACTTCAAATTGAATAATCCGTTCAAGTGATATTATAAAACAAATTTTCAGCAAATTTTTGGGCATTTTGTGAGGAAGATACCAAAAGGAGTGGACCGATATCCTCCATCTTCGAACTTGATCTAAGTTTGGAATAACTATTACGAAATGATAAGTTTATATGGAATCGGTTATAACCTCATTAGCCATAAGGCTGAACTTTCGACGTGAATTATCACGACAAAAGTACTTATGTACTTAAATCTATGTATGTCAATAAAAGCATCCTACAACACACTGAAAACTCGTAAAATTAAGTTTTTAAAATATACGATCACGGAGCTATAAAACACGTTTATGATGGTGACGAATCACAAATGAACCGCAATTGACCATGTGAGTCTTCATAGACGTTATGCAAAGTTTCGATGGAAATTGATAATCTGTTCGGATAGTCCTGCACGTGATATTATAAAATTAATTTTGGACCAAATTTTGAACATTTTGTCTGCGAGGTACATGAATGAGTGGATTGAAAGGTTCCATTTTCGGTAAGGTAAACATATTACGATGTGCAAAGTTTCGGAGAAATTGAAATACCGCTTCATATGATATGTACAATTTTCAAAATGTTGACAATAAACGGTTGTGCAATGTTTACTTCAAATTGAAAAATCCGTTCAAGTGATATTATAAAACAAATTTTCAGCAAAATTTTGGGCATTTTGTGAGGAAGATACCAAAAGGAGTGGACCGATATCCTCCATCTTCGAACTTGATCTAAGTTTGGAATAATTATTACGAAATGATAAGTTTATATGGTTATAACCTCATTAGCCATAAGGCTGAACTTTCGCCGTGAATTATCACGACAAAAGTACATTGATATACTTAAATCCTTGTATGCCAATGAAAGCATCCTACAACACTCTGAAACTCGTAAAATTAAGTTTTAAAAATATACGATCACGGAGCTATAAAACACGTTTATGATGGTGACGAATCACAAATGAGCCGCAATTGACCATGTGAGTCTTCATAGACGATCCAAATCCAACAAAAGTTGTTCGTGAAATAAGCACCTCTGTTTTCGAACTGTAGAACTGGTTATATGGTGACAGTTCAGCTTGAGCAACGTCGGACAGTCAATTCTAAGGCCTACACCACAATTTGTTTGCCTTAAGGAGAAATTTCAAAATTGAACAGAAGAAGCAGAATCATTGCACACAATAACAATGTAAGCACTCACATATCGGCACAAATCACCACCTTTTTGACCGGCCAAAATATGAAATTGATGGGTCTTCCGCGTACAGACAGGATTTTAGTCGCCAAAAAGATACAGTTGAAGCGTTGGAGAATACTTTGGACACAAATATTTAGATTTTTATTATGGGCCAAAAATATATATGTTTATTAGGTCTCATATGACTATAGACCACACCACATTGGAGAATCGGTCGTTTAACAGCAACACTCCTTTTAAGGGGACCCCCCATTCTCGGGGTCAAAATTTTTGTTGATATAATTCGAATCTACACTGATTAAAGAATGTCTCTACAAAATTTCAAGTGAAAATCACAAGAACTCTTGCAGATATAGCCGATTTATTGTGTCAGCATCAAGTGACGGTTGAAGGGCTTCTCAAACTTTAAACGCGTTTTTCTCTAAACAGTTTTTGCGAATGGCGGGCACGATAACTCAAAAACTAATAATCCAATCGGTTCCAAATTTTGCAACGTTTCTCTGGGAGTGTATAGCTCTCGTATGAACTAGGATAAAGGCAATCGGTGAAGATCTTCCTTATTTTTTAACTTGGGTTTTGGTAAAAAATTGGCGATTTTACAAAAATATTTTTTCAAAGGTCCACCATTTTGTTAATATCAGAGCGATGTCAATAATCCTAGTTCATACGAGAGCCAGACATGTACTCTTTCTAACACCGTTGGAATTTTCGGATTCCGATGTTCCAGTGAGGAGTTATCATGCCCGCCATCAAAAATAAGGACTTTTCTTTAATTACAAAAAACAACAACAAAACAATAACAAATTTTTTTGTAAATTATTTTTCTTCTCTTTTAAATCTTCAAATATATATGTGCAAAGTTACAAACATTAACAAGCATTTGTATTCATTTACCAGCTCATTGAAAATCTTGAAAAATTAGAATCATGAATGGGGGGGGGGGTGGGGGGTGTTCCCTTAAATCATTGATAAATTTGTCTATTCACACCAGACACAATTATATTCGAATTATGTTTACCTTCTAATATTTAATTTATTTATTTCGTGAGCCTAGCAAATAGGTGTTGTGCTCACAGCAGCTATTCAAATCGGAATGCATCTTTACGAACGTTATTTAGCATTCCAATCTTTATTTTGGTTTGAATGAATGGGCTACAAGATATTTATCTACACGCCAACGGATGATAAACTCACCAAGTCGCCACCATAATAGAAAATGACCGGAAATACATTCCCTTTGATAAAATTACAACCACACATATGTATAAGCCCCACCAACATGTGACCGTTTTTTTATAGTTTAATTTTAAATTCAAAATTGTCATTTCATTTACAACATTTCATTGTGATAATATGCATTAAATTAAAAATTGGGATAGGTCTGATCTTTGAGTTGACCTTGACAAAAAAATGAAATGAAACAAAAAGAAACATTAGCCAGAAAAATGCATTGTGTAAGCCGACTGGCTGTGGTGCGATGAACTGGGGAACCCTAAAAATAAAATACAAAAAACTATTAAATTTGTTGTTGTTTTTTTAATTATGTATGAAAATTAGTTAATTTTTATTTAATAGGCCACAAAACCTAAAAAAAAGAGAACCCATTGCGTCCAAAAATTCATGTCATTATGAATGGAAAGAAATTAAGCCCAGCTAATAACATGGGTGAGTGTAAATGTATGTGTGATGCTGTGCGGTGCATGAAGAAAAAAAGACACTGGCTAAGCGATCCAGCCAACAACACAAAAACACTTGTAATGACACACGTTTTGGCCCAGCTCTCAAACCGTTTTTTTTTCTATTAATCACAAACATGTTGACCAAGGTTAGTGAATAAAATATTTTATTGGTCTCAAACATAGGCTGCAAGTATGTGTGTTCGTGTGTTTGTCAGCCATATATGTTGTTGGGCATCGATTAATGATGATCAGCAGCTACGTATGTTGCGTTGTTGCCATGGCTGATGCGAATAATGAGTCTAATACTGATGATGCTGCTGTTGTTAAAATTTGACCACAAATTGTCTGGGAGGAATTTCGATGTAAGTCACCAGCGACTGAACTTCGTTGGCAGAGAGTCAACTCCAATTGTGGCCATTGTTTTGATAGTTTTTGTTGCTGCTGACAACTTTGCTTAAAATATGCAAAAATTTTGAAAACTATTTTTTGTGGACAGCCATCCAACCAGCCACAAAAGCCGGTCGTTTGGTCATTCGGCTGCCAACTCACATACATTCATCGGCAATTGAGCATTTGTGTTTTAGTTTTGGTTTTGTTTTTCTGGTAAAACTTGAAAAGAAATTTTGAAATACTTATTATAAGTTCAGATGAACTTGAAACATCTTGCATTTGGTTGGCTGAAGCTCTGAAACAGCCGGCTGCTCGATGAAGTAATAATCGCATAGATTCAACATATCCGAACATTAATATGCGATTATTCCCAAACAACCTCTTACAACTATGCACAGAGAGCAAGCAAGGGAGAGGGAGAGAGACCCAATATTATTTTTGGAAAAAAAAAATATTTTTTAGTTCCAATATAAATGTAGACAAATATTAGGGAGCCAAATCATTCCATAGTTTATACTTTACAAGTTCAGTCAGTTTTTTCTTTTTCGAATCCCCTAAAACCCTAAACGGAAACTGAACTGAAATGAAGGTAAGACATAGCACACATACGACGCCACATACCCAAGGATATAGCCACTAATTTTGGATATTCATTTGCAGATTATAATTTGTTTTCTGGCTGTGATTTGCATTTGCGATGCAACATTCTTGAAACTATTTGGTGGCAGCAGTGCCGGAGCCAGTAGTGGAGGTAGCAGTTTCAATGCTGTGGCCACACCTTCCGGTGGCGGTCATGGACATGGTCCCAGTTATGGTGGTGGTCACAGTTCCAGTTATGGCGGTGGTCACAGTTACAGCAGTCATGGCGGTTCACATGGTGCCTCATATGCCCATGGTTATGGCTATTCACATGGCTCGGGACATGCTGGTGGCGATGCCCAAATCTACAAGGTCATAATTGAAAATGCAGGTGGTCATGGTCACGATCATGGACACTCACATGGTCATGCAACTGAAACTATTGCCATTAGTCAGGATCAAGGACATGGTCACGGACACGGTCAGGGACATTCTGTTGAAACAATTGCAATTGCTCAAGATCAAGGTCACGGACACGCTCATGGCCATGCTGCTCAAACAATTGCCATTACTCAAGATAACTCCTATGGTTATGGTGGTGCTGTCAGCGGTCAAGCCTACAGTCATGGTGGAGCTGAACTCGCCGGACATGGTTACAGCCATGGTGGTAATGCTGGTGGTCAAGCTCAAATTTTCAAAGTTATCACCGAAAATGCTGGAGGTAGCCACTCTCATGGTTATTCCGGTGGTTCTGCTGGATATGCCCAAGGTCACTCATACGCCAACGGTTATTCCCATGGCGCCAGTTCCTACAATGATCAATTGAATCAAATTTTACCACAAATTCTTCAATTGGTCCTACAAGAAGATCATGGTTTTGGTGGTGGAGCTGGTGCTGATGTCAATGCCCAGCTGATTGCTCATTTCGGTGAAAAGGGCAGTGCTGTTGTGAGACGTAGCAAAGGTGGATCCAACAGCTATTTCCAAAGTGGTCATGTTGTACAAAAGGGTGAACTTAAAATCACCCGTGTCGAACAAAATCAAGGTGATGGCGGTAAAGCTGGTCTTTTGCAGGGTCCCGCTGTACAAGGTCCACCACCACCAGCTCCACATGGTCATCCCCATGGTCCACCACCACCATCTCATGGTTGGTAAAACGTAGTTCAAGTCATTAGTGTTGCAATTTTATAAGTGTAAGTCTAGGTCATTTGTTATTAAATTATATCTTCATTAGGATTACAAGTATTTGTTTCGTAGTTTATTTATTTGTTATTTAATTAAATAAATAATAATGTATTGAAATTTATTTGAAATTGTGATATTATTTGTTTTAAACGTAATTGGTGGAAGTAAATATTTGTTTGCCACCTCTTCTTGATGAAAGAAAGACATACACCACGAAATCGGAGTGAAAGTAACTGCCCGCTATACCCAATTTTCGTACCTCAAATCGGACGAAAATATATATGGGAGCTATATCCAAATGTGAACCGATTTGCAGGAAACTTAACACACATCATTCTAGACCTAATCCATTTCGCTATGCCAAATTTCGGGCAAATCAAAAGATATATAGGGACTTTGGTACACCATTTACCTTAAATCGGACGAAAATATATATGGAAGCAATATCTAAATCTGAACCGATTTTCATGAAACTTAACACACATCATTCTAGACCTAATTCATTACGCTATGCCAAATTTCGTGCAAATCGAAATATATATAGGGACTTTGGTACACCATTTACCTTAAATCGGACGAAAATATATATGGGAGATATATCTAAATCTGAACCGATTTGTCAAATTTCGTGCAAATCGAAAGATAAGTAGTGACTTTGGTACACCATTTATCTTTAATCGGACGAAAATATATTGGGAGCTATATCTAAATCTGAACCGATTTTTTAACAATTTCAATAGGGTTCGTCCTTGGGCCAATTAAGTGACCTGTGCCAAATTTCATCCAAATCGGATCATAAATGCGACCTGTACTTTGTTAACAAAAATACATGGACGGACGGACATGCATAAATCGACTCATAAAGTGATTCTATGCTTATTCTCAAAAGAAACCATGGGTCTATCTCGATTATTTTTGCCTGTTACAAACATATGCACAAGGACATAATACCCTGTACCACAGTGTGGTGAAGGGTATAAATAGTAAACCCATTGGAAGATACACTGAATATATCGTGTAACCCTCCCAGCTGCCAAAGTGGAAGAAAGTGTGAATTTATCAAAAATGTGGTGGTACAAAAAATGTGGTGGTACACGACTGCAGGATACGGAAATGGAAAATATATGTGAGCCTTAATTTCAAATTTCAGCGATATATCCTAAATATTGCCACGATACCAACGCTTCCTTCAATTTTCGATAATCTGAGTAGTCCAAACATGTTATTTAACCGTCAGGCGTCATTTCCGATATTTTCAAGATGAATGCCTGTAGTTTGGTATTTTGCTTTCTTCCTGCAGTTTACTGTAGTATAGCCCCCATAACAAAGTCCCGAGCGATTTTACGTAGTTTGAATTTTCACCTCATGTTGGAGAGTATATAAAGTATTGCACGATCGAATGCTTTCACTTGTTTCCCCCTACAAAAAGCAGGTCTACCTTGAAAACTATGCTTTGTTTTTTTTCTAAAATTTCTTAGATTTTTTTCTTTTTTTAGAAAAAAATACATTTAAATGTCCGTCTAGCTTTTTATACCCTTCACCACACTGTGGTACTGGGTATTATGTCTTTGTGCATATGTTTGTAACAGGCAAAGGGAAACGAGATAGACACATGGTACCTTTGGGGAATATGCATAGAATCACTATTTAGATATAGCTCCCAAATATATTTTCGTCCGATTTAATGTAAAAGGCGCACCAAAGTCCCTATATATCCTTCTATCTGCACGCAATTTGGCCTAGGATACATAATTAAGTCTGGAATGATGTGTGTTATGTTTCGTGAAAATCGGTTCAGATTTAGATGTAGCTCCCATATGTATTTTCGTCCTCAAGCATATTTTAGTATTTCTTCCATATCCGACCTCTTCCATCAATGTTCATCTTTATTAAACTACGCCATATGCCATAAGACGCAAGTTTTGTAATTTTACAGACAAATGTCTTGCTTTATTTGACCCGCTAAACATTGACCGATCTTCATCAAATCAGTCTTGCATATTCTTTGGGGAAATTCCCTTCGCCGATAAAGTTTTTGGTCAGAACCGGACCAAATTTCGTAACGATTGGTCAATTACTTTAATATATTTACACATTTTACGAGTCAGCTGGTCAAAATATGGTAGCTCTGTGACCAATATGTTACTGCTTCGAATTAAAACATTAAAAAAATGCCCGCGAGTCAAAAAAGGAAAATAGAAAAGTATGTAATACCCTTCACCATACAAGAGATGCTCATATGTCCAATATGCATTATATAGAATAGACATAGCATCTTTGGAGGACCATTGAAATGGAATCGGACTAAGCGGACAAACTTTAGTTACATCATTTTGGTGAAATCGGATGAAAATATATATGGGATCTATATCTAAACCTGAAACATCCTCAATCCAAAACGCTATGCAATATTTCATGTAAAGCGAACAGACATAGACTCCTCCATTTGCACCATTTGCATAAAATCAGAAAAAATCAGTAGGGAAAGTTCAAAAGTCGGACGGGGCCGACTATATGATACCCTTCACCACTTTGGGTACTAAAGAGATGCTTAATTTGAACCTAATTCGGCACGCTGTGCAAAATATTTGTGACAATCGGGCTAAATTTGACTCTTTACTGCTCCTATTACATAAAATCGGACGAAACTATATATGGGAGCTACAACTAAATCTGAATCGATTCCAAAAAAAATTTGGCATATATTAATCTAGACCTAATTCAGTATTCTGTGTAAAATTTAGTATCAATCGGATTAATATTGGCAGTATGGTGCTCCATTTGCATACAATCGGACGAAACTATATATGGGAGCTACATCTAAATCTGAACCGATTCCAACAAAACTTCGCATACATCAATCTGGACCTAATTCAGTACTCTCTGCAAAATTTTATCTCAATCGGATCAATATTGGGAGTTTGGTGCACCATTTACATAAAATCGGACGATACTATATATGGAGCTATATCTCAATCTGAACCGATTTTGCTTTCTTCCTGCAGCTTACTGTAGTATAGCCCCCAGCGATTATACGTAGTTTACGTAGAATTTCCACCTCATGTTGGAGGGTATACAAAGTATTGCCCGATCGAATGCTTTCACTTGTTTCCCCCTATAAAAAGCAGATCTAACTTGAAAACTAGGTATGCTTTGTTTTTCTAAAATTCCATAGTTTTGTTTTCTTTTTTTTAGAAAAAAAGACAATAAAATGTCTGTCCATCTTTCTAAACCCTTCAACCCTGTCTTTGTGCATATGTTTGTAACAGGCAAAAGGAAACAAGATAGACACATGGTACCTATTTCGATATAGCTCCCATATATATTTTCGTCAAATTTAAGGGGACAAATTCGGTGTCAATTCCTTTTTTTTTTTTTGTTTAATTCAAATCTACTCTATATCTAGAATGTCCCTACAAAATTTCAAGTGAAAATCTCAAGAACTCTTGAAGATATATTTATTGTGTCAGCATCAAGTGACGTCAAGAGTGATTCTCAAACTTTAAACGCATTTTTCTCGAAACAGTGTTTCACGAATGGCGGGCACGATAACTCAAAAACTAATAATCCAATCGGTTCCAAATTTTGGCACGTTTCTCTGAGAGTGTATAGCTCTCGTATGAACTAGGATAAAGCCAACCGGTGAAGATCTTTACCAGCCCATTTCAAATTTTAAAAATAAAAAATTGAGAATGGGGGCGAGTGATATGTGCTATATTTTCGTGCACCAAAGTCCCTGTATATCTTTCGATTTGACCGAAAGTTGGCATATCGTACTTAATTTAGTCTATAATGATGTGTATTGTGTTTCGTGAAAATCCGTTAAGATTTAGATATAGCTCTCATATGTATTTTCGTCCTCATAGTGTGATAATTGTAATACTAAACATACTGAATTTGTGGACCCCTATGCATATTTTTGTATTTCTTCCATATCCGACCTCTTCCATCAATGCTCATCTGGCAAATTTTCCGGATCCCGGGGTTAACATTTACGCCATAAGATGCAAGTTTTGTAATTTTACACACAAATGTTTGCCTTGTTTGGCCCGCTAAACATTGGCCGATCTTCATCAAATCAGTCTTGCATATTCTTTGTGGAAATTCCCTTCGCCGATAAAGGTTTTAGTCAGAACCGGACCAAATTTCGTGACGATTGTCAATTACTTTATTTTATTTACACATTTTACGACTCAGCTGGTCAAAATATGGTAGCTCTGTGACTAATATGTTACTGCTTTAAATAAAAAAATTAAAAAAAATGCCCGCGAGTCAAAAACAAATTGTCAAAAAAAAAAAAATAGAAAAGTCGGACGGGCCGTCTATGTGATACCCTTCACCACTTTGTGTACATACAAGAGATGCTCATATGTATAATATCCTTTAGATAGAATAGACATAGCATCTTTGGAGGACCATTGAAATGGAATCGGACTAAGCGGACAAACTTTAGTTACATCATTTTGATGAAATCGGATGACAATATATATGGGAGCTAAATCTAAACCTGAAACATCCTCAATCCAAAACGCTATTCAATATTTCATGTAAAGCGAACTGACATAGACTCCTCCATTTGCATAAAATCAGACAAAAACAGTAAGGAAAGTTCAAAAGTCGGACGGGGCCGACTATATGATACCCTTCACCACTTTGGTTAGTACCCAATTTGCTTAATTTGAACCTAATTCGGCACGCTGTGCAAAATATTTGTGACAATCGGCCTAAATTTGACTCTTTACTGCTCCATTTACATAAAATCGAACGAAACTATATATGGGAGCTACATCTAAATCTGAATAGATTCCAAAAAAATTGCGCATATAGTAATCTAGACCTAATTCAGTATTCTGTGTAAAATTTAGTATCAATCGGATTAATATTGGCAGTATGGTGCTCCATTTGCATACAATCGGACGAAAGTATATAAAGAAGCTATATCTTAATCTGAACCGATTCCAACAAAACTT